ATTTAAATTATGTGTTAAAATATATAGACTAATTTATACTAACCTGGAAAAATAAATATTAAAGTCATTTCAAACAAAAAACATGAGATAAAGTTCTCCTTTGTTATTTTAATTGGTGCATTTTAAATGTATTTATTTAGTGGTTCATATAATTCTGCTTTTATTTCTAATGATGTCAGTGTTGGTCCTCCGTACTGCAGAAGCCTGATAATCATCCATTCATTCAAATCAGGTGTGTTGGAGCAGAGAAACAGGTGAAACATGCAGGGCTGCGGACCTCCAGGACCAGGACTGACCACCCCTGATTTAAAGAAAAATATTACTTCAACTCAGGTAAAAGTGTGAAAGACACTAAATTTCAAGTTGTTCGTTCCTAACAACGTGTTTTATCGTTTCCTTTATCCTCCTCAGATTAAAGGATTTTTTTAAAAAGATTTTCTAGGACCAACAGAGCAAAGGACAAGCTGCTTTCATCAGAGCGACAGTGAGTCTTTCAAAATAAGTCCGGTTCACATTTCAGACGTTAAACAACTTCCAAGTCAAAGACCCCTTGCTTGATGTACTCGTATCAGATGCCCTACCACTCCCAGTGTGAGCAACCGATTCGTCCAAAATACCCTCCAACACACCCATGAGATCAGACAGGAGACTCAGTCACACAGCGATGAGATCATGATGTCCAAAGGGAGACACACAACCTGTGCCAGCCCAGGCTGCAGGGTAGTAGGTACACCACTCCACAGTTTGATGCTGTTTGTTACACCGCCTGCAGTCACAGGCCTCACTGAGGGCCAAAGGTCTGGATTTGGAAACAGTTCCTGAAGCCATGGTGGGGTTCACTGGAAACACCATAAGCACTTATTATCTTACCTGTAGGCAGCTCTTGGTAAAGCATCAGTTTGGAGAAATTCAGTTTAATCCTGACAAGACTGACCAAAACTGAGACAAGACCAAAGTGGATTACTGCTGCCTTAAAACAACTCTTTTCTGAAAGATTTTAGAGCCGTTCATGCAAAAAGTATTTTATAAACTTTTACGTTACTGTCAAGTTATATTACACACTATTTTACACTTGTATAATGATACGTTTATGTTGGTTTGTTCTTTTTCTGTATCTTTCAATCCTGGTGTTTAGTTCTGTAATTCCTGAGTCAAACGGACAGATTTTACAAAGACTGACCTCACCCGTGATGATAAAAACTAATAGATATAACAGGTTTGGTCCTAAAGTGTGTGGTGTAGAGCTACATGTCAAAGACAACACATCTCAACAAAGAGATTTCACTCATAAACATTTAAATGTCTCACAAGACCTGTTGAGATCAAACGAGACCTCAGAGTAAATAAACAAGGAAGAAGCAATGGTGATAATATGTGGACTATTTTTAACAGAGAAATAAAAAGACACGTCAGACCCCCACTGGACTTTGTGGTCTCTACAGCATTTGTTTTGTTGTCTGCATTTTGAATTGCAATCTGTATTACTGTCACCTCGCTTGATTGGCTACACGTCACATTCGGTCTCGTTTGTCTTCGGGGGAACACCAAAACACGCTGGGATATCAGATTAAGACAATCCGACATCCTGAATATCCATGATTTGAGGTTGGAATGGTCCCAACATACTTCCGAGCCAAATAGCTCACTCTTAACACACCACACATGACAGGAATATCTTATCAGATTATCTTTAGGGCCATTGTGATAATCCAGGCATCCTTACGATTGTTGGAAGGGCAAAATTTATATATTTTATTATTTTTATCAAAACCTGAAAAGAATAAGCATTTTGTGAAGTTCTAATAATTTAACCACAATAAATGAACGTTTACAAAAGGCATCTCACAAAACAGCAACACAGAAAAATCTGATCATGGTTGAAATTTTGGCAAAATAGAAAAACAGAGAAAATCTTTTCTTTTGCGTTCCCTCGCAATACTTTTGTGTTACCTCGCAATATTGTTTTGCGCTCCCACACAAAAAAATTGATTTGTACTGTATATGAACTGAATTAAATCAGACTTTTATTTTGAAATATCCAGTTACCAAAACAGGATGTGTCGCCACAAGTTCATGAAATTGTCATTAATGTTGTGTGGCTGCATTGTGTTAAAATATCAGCATATGACATTCTCCCATGCGTGGCTGTGTGATATGTTCATTCTGACGCTGAATTAAAGCAGTAGGCTAACTCACTAATGGTGAGCAGGTGAATGTGTTAATAAACCGGCAGGCACAACAGTGTTTAATCACTTTTGCGAGGTAACGCAATACTTTTGCGTGGAAACGTGAAAAGAAAAAAATCCCTCCATGTCCTCTCGCGGGCTCCGTACTTTCTCCAATGATAACAGGTTAGAGTTACTTAATAGCCTCTATGCCACGGACATCCAGTCCAGCACTTGGTGCCACTCCCAACACTTCCAGTTCACAGTCAACACAGTGTTAGCAAAAGATTTTTTCACCCGACAACGACTCTTAATGATCTCCACAGTACAGAATTATCATATTACATGTACCAACAT